GGGCTGATTTTGTTGTTGGTTCTACGTGAAGCACTAGCTCCTTGGTTTAATAATAAATTTTCTCTGGGTTCTCCTGTTTTCAGTATTTTTGTCCCTCATCTACAAAAGCCATGTCTAAATTCCAGTTTCTAAATTCTTCCCATTTGAAGTGAAGCATAATCAATGCTACCAGCACAGATCAATAGTTATTTGTTTAGTTTCATATGGTTAGCCTGATGCTCCTTGTTAATCTTGTTTTCTTCCTGCCCACCTATACAATTAATGAGTGGGTAATTTTCCACCCACAAGAAACACAGTTTAGTTAAAGGACTTTGTTCAATACTTTAAGCACCGGTTTAGTAAACAAATTATTGAGGCCTAAGTGAAGAACACAACAGAAATTTAAAGAAAACTTGGAAAAGAAATTTACATGCAGGGAACATGAGCTGTAGGTGAGTGTTTACTACATTAAGCATTTTCAAACAATGGAAGTGTTTTACGGCCACTCTTGCATCAGGCACATGGCAAACTTTACTGTATTTCACTTGAATTCTATTCACAAACCTATTCCAACCCTCTTCTGTTGTGACACACAACTAAGTTCTCCTCACATGTTCAGTGTGTTAATAACACTGCAATAAACTGCGCTAGAACCCATACCACCTCCCCACCCCACAAGCTAAGAGCTGCTGCAAAGCCAGGAAAATAAATCCTGAGGGACTGGGATTATTATGCACAGTGTGTACATAGTTCAGAACAATGTAGGTGACTTAACAAACATATGCTGTGCATAAATCAAGGAAATATCGTTATCATCAAATTTTGTTTCTGCAGATAAATCAAGAGAGGAGAAAAGAGGACTGTCACCCAGTTGGAGTACACCAAATCCTAAACAAGCCAAACTCACAAATGTGGACAAAACANCTGCAGCGGTATCCTACCCCGAAAAATTAAGTCCGCAGAAATGGGATTTTTGGTATTTTTAGAACAAGTCAGCACATTATAACGTCTCCAAATCCCCCTGGATCCACCCCAGGGTCTGAAACTTATCCTTGTTTGGAATAAATGCAACAGCAACAATCAAAACAAAACAAAAACATGAAAATTGAGCTGGAATTTCAGCTAAATCTATGTACAGTGTATCTATCAAATAAAAATTTTTCAAATTACACTAACCACTTTGATGGAGCAGGAATGGTGTAGTAGTGAGAGCTGGGGGGGGGGGGGGTGGTATGTTCTGGGGCTGAGTTCTGGTCTCATCATCACATGTGGGTTAAGTTTGTTGCTGGTGGTCGTTCTTGCTTTGAGTGAGCTTCCTTAGTTTTGCTCTCTCCACAAAAACCAAGTTACCTAGTTCTGAATTCCAATTTTATCTGCAGACAGAGAACAAATATTATGGCCTCTCCAGGGATTTGCCTTTCTCTGCTAATTCAGATTAGTTTCATTTTTATTTCATTTCCACCAGCAGGAAAATCCATGTCAACAATCCCCAGTTTTAACCATTTTCGGTTTTGTTTTATTTTACCTGTTTAGTGTTTTATTTCTACCTCAATAATCTGTTCCTCCTTACATCTTAGAATATGCATGTAGAATTTTCTGCAGTGTGATGATTCAGCGATAGTTTAATTATCCCAGCTACATGTACAGCCAATGTAAATATAATTTCTTATTACCAAACTCATGCACTGTTACATAATATATAGGATCTTAATTAGTGGAAGTAAGCAAGTGGACATTTCTCTTATGATATCTTTTACTTACAACTGTTGTTATTTCCATAGAACACCCGCTAGATAAACCTAGTTTTGCTCATCATTTGTGCTTAACTTTGCAGACTGCTTCATATTGGTGACATTTCTTTCTTTAATTTGAATATACCAGTTAGTATTATGTTAACTATTAGTATTCTGTTATCTTTTCAGTGTCAGACTGTGGACAAGATGAGAACTCTGGTACACATGACTGTTATGACAACCCTCCACGACTTAGTGTTAAACTTCCAAAGCAAAGCGATCTTCCAAGGACCTTCAGTGAATGGAACAATGTTGAACTCCCAGTCGATTTTCTGGTACTGACAGTGGAGGATTGTGAGTTCCGAGGATTTTTTTCCTTTCTCGAAAAGCCCTTCAAGAGTTACACCAGAGACATTGGTCACGTGTACTTTGGCTCCATGGGGAATGGTAGTGGGACGAAGTTGAAAGTTGCACTAATGAAGTGCTCCAAAGGTTCTGCAGTTCCTGGCGGATCTCTAACTGTTGTAAAAGATGCAGTCCGGGTACTGAGACCCAAGGCTGTGTTTTTGGTAGGGGCCTGCAGTGGATTGAATCGTGGAAAAGTCAAACTAGGA